CGCACTGTAATTTGAACATACCCTTCCTAGTATCCAAGGGACTCTCACCTCTCACTTGGACGTTCGCCCACCGCAATGACTCGTTGGTCAGTGGCATCACTTGTAGTATGCGTCAAAGTACGCTCGGTCGGAGATAAAGTACGACCCGCCATGCAGATAAAGTTTTTTGCGCTCATAACCCCTTGCTTAGTGCTTGGAACAGTGAGTTCTCGCTCTAGGGAGCGAACTCGTCGTAGTGCTCATACTTGCAGCTGAACGTCCGTACGATCTGTACGTTTTGGCTGCCTAACTCCGACTTGGTCCCTCTGCTGGTGTAGTCTAGAGGCGCTAAGTCGTCGTATGGCGGGTTGTCAAAGTCGAGCAAGTCCTTGGCAAGACCCTGTGTTGGTTCGTAGTCGGAGTTCCAGCGACTGAGAAAGTTTCCAGCCACATCTTTTGCTGCCGGCCCGTGAATACGGACATGGCCGTCTATCCAGCCCTTGAAGGAGCCACTCACACCGGTAGATTCGCGAAGTTCCGACTCATTGTGGTAGATCGTATCCCAACGACCTGAAGTGATGTCGATCCCACCAACGTAAGCCACAGGGTGTTGATCCACCTCCGTCGAATTGGTAGATGCTATGATTAGATTCTTCTGGTGGTGAGTTGATGAAATCGTCCGTACGCGGTCGTCAAATAGGAAAAGTGGCTTCTTTCCTGTCGTTACTGATGCCGCGATATCGTTAATGTCGTCGCGAACCTTAATATTCTGCGATTTGCCTAGCATATTAGCCCATATTAATGCGTGGAAACTGCCGCCACGCTGTATTATACCTTCAACCACGTCATGTAATTGGGACTGGTTGCCACCGTCGACATCGGGCTGGAACGGAATGAGGTCTGTACCCCAACCTGCCAGCATGACTCGATCTCCCTCCTTGGTGGACGAAAGATCAGTAAAAGCAGCGTCAAAGAATTCTTTCGGTACGGTGTATGTCGTGACGTCGTTCCCGGTCGTGTAAGTGGCCATGTCGCCTCGAGTTGAGCCATTCCGTGACGCTGTAACCTCCTCCTCAGTAAGAAACCAATCGGTCGGCGCGAGCAGAGGTTGATCCACTGTCAAGTCCGAGCCGTCCGATGCATCCAACTCTTTATGTTCTTTGTACCCGCAAGTCAGCGAGTTCTTTTTGAACTCGCACACGTGACATGGCTCACAGATGCACAATCTCACAACCGCGGGAAAGAAGCCGCCAACCTTGGTACACTCGACACCGGTGCGAGTATTAATAGTCGTAGGGGTAGTCCTCGACTGACTGTGGAGAGAATTGAGCGACGACGTGGTTGTCCATGGAAACACACAGAGCAATATACCGGAGATTCCTAGATGGCGAACCATCATCAGGCAATTTGCAGAATGGCAAGTACTGTACACTTGGGGAGCTGGTCTACAGAGAACACTGTACAGTACACTGAGGCACTACTGTAACGTACAGTTTTTCTGTAGTTATTACAGAAGTACGACGGGTAATAGCGAGGCCTCCATTTGGCGTGTAATCGGGGCTTCATACGGTAAATGTATCTGCAATACAGAACATGTACCGGTAATTCGGTAGAGTTCCAGCAATGCACCGTATGGTACCGTAACCGACTCACTTGACAAATCAAAAAAGAAAATATTGGTGAGCCTTACTTCAAGTACATGTGCAATTTTTTTATAGGTACTATTTTCTAATACTAAATAGCAAACCATCGGTTTTACAGTACTTAATTCTGATTAAACCGATAAGCTTTTAGCCTTCAATATGTTATGCGGCTGATCTTCAAATGCCTCGAAATGCTTCGTTTCGAAATTGGTGATATTTTTACGAAGTAGTTATTTTCAATTGAGCTAATAAAATTAGGTAGATTAAATGAAATAGCTATTTTTAGCGAAATCTGGTTTTTTTAGTCGAACCACGGCCTAAATGCTTCAAGATGTACTATTTCAAAACCTGCTTGTGAATTATTAAAGAAATACCACTACGCTTTATTAAGAGGTTTACAGTTGTAACCCATTTAAACGAGTGCCTAAGTTATAAATTAATAAGAAAAAAACACACACACTGATCTCTGGAAATTATTAAAATCTCGATAATCTATTAATAACCAAGTCTGCTTTTGTCTTGGATGCTGAGACTATTACATGCAATCACCCTCCTTTAATTTTATGCGTTTTCTGATATACCTACCTCTTGTTATTTGAGGAATTCTCATTTCGCCTGAATTCGCTCAGCTATACCACTTATGATACTACAGTGTATTCTGAAGAATCGACCGAGCAGAATTAGAATATCATCTCGAAGCCTACAAGTATTAAAGATGCAGCTTCTCGTCCGCTTTTGCTTTCGACATCTAGAAAAGTGGACTTAAACTCGTGCATCTACAGCCACATTGGCTTCCAGTACCGTATTAATACATGTACTGGGTCTGCGACAGTCACAGGAAACTCGAGGGCGACAAGGAAGATATAATGGTTCATGTATTATATTAGTATTAATCGAGCTTAGGTATTTCGCTCTGCGTTTCATCGATATTTGCATGCTAGCTTTTATTAATAACAAAAAAACTCAATTTGAAAAGTTGCGTACTACGTAGTATTTTGCTATTACTACTAGTAGTAATACATGTAAGAAAAACGAGCGTGGTTATTCCCAAATCGAGTGACTTGTGGTGCCGCCGTATCGACGACGTCTATACACGTAGTACGTCGACGCAGCCTTGACGTTTGTTTCAAAGTACGCATCATTGAAAGGCACATTGGCGAAATCTCCAAAGTCGGTGTTCTCCAAGGCTTCTCGAGCCGCGTCTGTCAGTTGGGTCCACTGGATGAGGTCTTGGTATTCCCCTTCCTCGTGGAACTGGAAAATGGTGTGCCACCCGTCTCGGTCGTCCTCATCGTACCGCACCTTCGCCGTGGTGCCATTAATGATGTCCGATCTCTTGGGTGGCTTACTGATCACATACTGAGTACCATACGTCGACGCCGAGGTTGCTAGTATTGTCGGCTTGGCTAGAGTTGGATTGTCGAGCCAAACTACCAGGTTTACCCAATCGTGACGAACACCCTTCTTGATAAGGCCTATATTCTGCATGTTTTTTGGGAAATACCATGCGTACATGATGGCCCACTTGTTCTCATACAAAGTCGATCGACTGTACACCTGCGAGCCTAAGGGAGAGCCCGTACATTCACCGTCAGAACGCCCCGTTCCTTTCAATCCAGCACCCGTATCCCCGGCAGCATTCACGACGGGGTACGGGTGACATCCAGCCTTTACTGCAAGTGAAGGCTTGAATTTGACTGCAGTTTTCTCGGCGTCGGTGGTCGGTTCCGGCTGTGCGAACGGCTGGACCGTGTCATGATCGATCGACGCAGCTCGGAT